GGCGGACGTTGGGCCGAGCGGCGTGTCGATGAGTCACGGCGGTGTGAAGGTGCGACACGGGCGTGTCGACGGCGACGTGCAGCCCACGACGGCGACCTCCCTTCAGTCCCGCCACGCTCTGCCGCACAGTGGGCCGCCCCGCGCCCTTACGGTGGCGTTGCGCAACCGCTGCCCTAAACAAATTAACTGGGAAGGCGAGGGGCTTCAGCTCCCTTGAACTATATGCTGACGGAGTTCCTGTCGCGCACATCTGCACCGTTGCTCTCCTCGGCTTCGCGTTATGCGTGCCGTTGCCGTTCGGAGGTCGCATCCAGGCTGCGCGACACGTAAGAGGGAATCACCCAAAAGGCAACCGGAGGCAAAAGACGTGCCTTGACCCTTTTCTTGACCCCTCCTTTCAAGGTTTCCGAGCACGCCACTGGTAAAAAGTCTGCTCATCCGGTTCGCTCGCACACTGCGAACGCCATAACCACCTGCAGCCGGCTAGAGCTAGATCCTCCTGCTGGAAGGTTCGCTTCATTAGGTTAACTAAAGCGGGCTGTGGGTGGCCCCGTGGTTCGCCTCGCGGCCCTGGCCCTGCCCTATGGCCAAGGCGGGCCACGCCAGGCCAAGGCCCTGGCCCTGCCTGCGCCCACACTGTACAGCCGTACAGCCCGGATGGCTCTAGAGCCTCTAGATGTTCCGCCCGAATCCATTTGTTTACATCAAGGGATCGTTCCACCGCACCGGCATAGACTGATTCCCGAAGTCGTCGCTCTCTCTCTCTCTCTCTCTCTCTCTCTCTCTCTCTCTCTCTCTCTCTCCTCTCTCTCTCTTGCACTCATGGTGCATCCCGTACATGTGCGAGAGAGACAGAGCTAACTGCAGGAGCGGCTCCGTCGCACATACGCGACATACTACGTACGCACATGAACAGACGCACTCAACGGTCGCACTCTTTCTCTCTCGCGCACAGCATACACGCTGTGACGGTGGTGTTGCCCCATCCCGCTCACCATGCGACGACGTATACGCACGATGACGTTGTCCGAACCATGTCGACGACAGTGTGCTAGCTATTGACGGTGTGGTCGCTGATTGGCCAGGGCAGTCTCGGGTCACACGCTCCGCCACTGTCTTCTGTGCGGGAGGAAAACAAAATCGCCTCATCTGATTGTTTTGTTGTTGTTGATGATGATGCCGTTTTTTTTTTTTGCAATCGTGTGATGCGTCGCGGCATCAGGCCACCACCCCCTGCATCATGCAGTGGGCGTCTTTTTCGGTGTTTTCGCAGAACTCCCCCTCCCCCTCTTCCCCACACTCCGCACCCCCTTTCCCCTTAGTAATTGGCGCACTAGGGCTTGCGACGCTGGTTCTCTGTCGCGCGTGGTTGGTGGATGCGGTTGTTTATGTTTTGGTGGAGCTTCATGGCAGGACTCCCTGGCTGGGCGGGGCAGTCTGTGACCTCACCCTACATACGCCACGCCGCGCGCACACGCAGACAGACACACAGACAGACACAGACGCACGCACACACACACACACACACACACACACGAGAACGTCTGCATGTTCTCGCGCTCACATGCACTTCGCGCACTGCGAGGCTAGATTTACCTAGAACTGACCGCACTAAAGGCGCAAGTCGTTTTTCAAAATTAATTCCCCGCGCCCGCCGCCGCGTCGCTGACGGCCGCCGCGAAGCGACGTGTAAACACACACACACACACGCCGCCCTTCCACAATCTAGGAAAGCGCAGCGGCGTGTTGACGCTGTTGACGTCGCGCGGGGCGTGTCAACAGAAAGAAACCCCGGTCGCACCGCGCCGCACCGCGCCGCACCGCCACACCGCATCGCACGACCGCCCGAGACGATTTTGTTTGTTTTCGTTTTGGCCGTTTGGCACGGGTTCGCTCTGCTTTGCGGGTCATGCGCGGCGGCGGTTGCGCGGCTGTTCCGAGAGTACCGCGACACGGCCTAGGCCTCTTCCTGTCTGGTTTCCGGTGCCGCATGTTTGGGGTTTGGAAGCTTAGGTTAGTTTCGGTAAGGTTGGGTAACGTTACGGGATGTAAAGTAAGGTTATGGGATGTCAAAGGTTAGGTTATCCTTACACAAACGTGGGGCAAACGTGGCAAATTTTGCCGCGGACGCACGGGCTGGCGGATGCGCGTGGGCGTGGCCTTACAGTGACACGAACTGGGCGACAACGGACAACAAAACTGGGAACTCTAATAATAATGTTTGAGTCCGCTATCTCTGTAATGCCCTTGCCGTGACGCTCACTGATAACTGTCCCAGGTTCGATTCGTCGCTCTGTCTCTCTCGCACTCCTGCGGGCCCTACGGGACGCCCCTTGAGTGCGAGAGAGACAGAGCGACGAAACCGATCCTTCAGGGGGGGCTGCCCGCCTGGTATCGTCAGGACCGCCGCTGTCGGAACCTTCGGACGACGCGCCGGTGACGGAAAAGGAAAGAGGAATTATGAATGATGTGGGAGACGTCACTCCGACGTAACGATATTTGACTCACTTCGCGAATGACAATGAGGCTCGTGACGGTGCCGGGAATCTCTGTGACGGTGCATGCGACGCGGGCCGAGAATAGCCATGGGCGGGGCGGGGCGGGGCGGGGCGGCGAGAGGCGCCGCGAGAATAGAAATATAGGTCACCGGGAGTCACTCCAGGGGGCGCCGCCGTCGGGAAAAATAAAAATACACCAACGAGGATTCGAACCCCTGTCCGGAAGGGGTGCTGGGACCGGCCGTGAGTCGGCAGCCCCTCGGCCGCGACGCCCTGCACGGCATGACGCGGCTCGAGAGGCTCCACCACACTCGCGGCAAGTGCGCCTGCACCTCGGCACGCGTCGCCTCGGCGTCGCCACTCCACTCTGAACGCGCCGAAAAACGTCCTGAAGGCAGCAAAATAGTGCGTCGTGGAAACCGGCCGGGACACACACACAAACACACCTGCGCGCGGTCACGTATGCGCAGCGCAGGTCCTCGCGCCGCGCAGCTGTGCGTCTCTCGGTTGCACCAGCTCATTGGGGTCAGGGCGCGGGGGTGGACGCGTGGACGACGCCCCAGACGCCACCGCCAGGGCGGATCCAGAACGGCCAGAGGGAGGGGCGAATAGCACTTTGGGTCTATTTACAAGTGCAAAGTGCCGTCTGGAATACGCCCTCCTGGAAGGCACTTCTGGAACCCCTTCCTGGAACACACCCTCCTGGAACAGCCGTGCAGAACGCCCTCCCAGAACACACCCTCCTGGAACACCCCCTTGTCGCCCTTTGCTCCAGAGACTTGAATGCGCCCCTGCAGGTGTGCCAGTGTGGCTGCGCGGCCGGGGAAGTCCCACACCGTGCAGGCCGAGCAGGCCGTCAGGACGGGCAGGGCAGGCCACGCGGCGCCCCGATCGGCCAATGCATCTCATCGGGCCGATAACGCCCCCCTCCCCTCCCGCCTCCGCGGCCGGGGGTGGGGCGCTGGTGGGGCGAGAGGCCCACGTCACAGCCGCGCTTTTAAATAAGCCCGCGGCCCGCGGAGGCAGGCCAATCGCAGTGCACCGCGCGACCCAGTCGCTTCGCGCTTCGCGTTCAAGTCCGATCGAGCCCGGCAGAGCCAGAGGCAAGCCAGAGGCCCGGCCAGTGCGCCACACTGTTGCGCCTAGTCGTGCCATTCGAGACGCGTCGCGCCAAAGTTTGGACGCCGTGACTTTAGTCGGGTGGACGCGTGCCGACGCTAGTCGAAGACGACTATACCGCCAGCGCCGCCAGCTTCGGCCGCTTCGCCAGCGCCACTCGCGGCGTCTGCTCGAAGCTGCAGCTACCCGCAGCCCGGCCGTTGGAAAGAGGCGAGCTGTCTGCCAGCTAGCCGGCCATCCCGCCTCGCGCCGCCCAGAGCGCCGCCCAGGCACAGCTGGCAGCCGCGCGCCGCTGGCACCGGCGGCTTTTTGTTCGCTCTCTCTCTCGCTCGCTCCCTCTCTCGCTCGGCTTCGGCTTCGGCTCGGCCGGCAGACCCGCAGTCGAGTCGGTTCGGCTCGGCACGGCAGTTCGTCCCCGGACTCCCGGTCAGCCAGACGCCGCCCTAGCGCTGGTCTGGTTGCCGTGTTCTCACAGTGAGGGAGTCTTCCTTGCTGGTGGTCTTCTTCCTTGGATTTACTCGCCGCATCGCATCGCCGGCCTGCACTAGTGGACCTCCTCCCCAGTGCTGCTCCGTCGACGCGTGTGTTCTTTCCCTTTTCTCCGGGAGAGCGGACGTTCCGATCCGCTCCTGCATAAGTGTGTCTCCTTCAAGATAATCATATGTGTCAGTGTGCGCCGACTGCGAGCCCCGTCTTGCCTTCACATGTGTATAACTTGAGGACGTTCAGGACCCAACCTGAAGGCATTGAGATGAGCTCAATCTTTTACAACTGTATGAATACATACTGTGAACTCTAGTGTGCGGTGGGTGGCCTAAAGAGGTCGACCGGCGTCTGTCGGTGTGCGTTGAGTCGGTAGAGTTTCGCCTTACCGACCCACCAGTGTCAACAACAACAACAACCAACTCGCCACCCCCGTCCCCACCCGGCTGTGCAAACCCGTGATCAAAAAGTGGAACTTGGCTTTCCCACTTTGACTTTGTGTGCACCACTGCTCTCGAATCTCAAGCTAAAGTAATTAAGGAAAAAAATCTAGTTTCTAAACGACAGAGTGTGTGTGTGAGTGTGTAACTATTCGAGTGCTAGTTTGAATTACCAAAACCATTCTGTGAATACCTCGAAGCGTATCTGTGATCCGAGAGACCCTTTGAGCGAGCTGGAGCGCCAAAAGACTCTCCCCGAAAAACAACAACAACCCCCGACGACCTCCCCCGCCGGCAAGCTGGCGCCCCCAAGCCCCCCTGTGGCCCCCCCGGCTGCGGACGAGAAGAAGAAGGAGAAGAAGAGCAGCAAGCAGGGCATGTGGGCCAAGAAGCTGAAGGTGCTGGTGAACAAGATGGTGGGCAGCAGCCAGACCCTAATCGCACTTCGTGTGGTTCGCAGCAAACTTCGTAAACGCGAGGAGACCAACAACAACAGCCTGGCCCCCGGCCACGCGCCCACGCGCACCCACCAGCTGCAGCCCTTGCAGCACGATGGAGCCAAGGCGCCCTTCGCCCAGAGGTGAGTCCCGCCTGCACTGCCTAGTCTAAGTCGGATAAGTCCTGTCTCTCTCCCTCGCACTCACGGGGCGCCCCGTGTTGGTGGGAGAGATACTGTCCGCCCCCTTTGACGGCTCGACAGCGCTAGCGGGCTAGCCCGGAGCTGCCTCGCCGCTCGTCGGCAGCCTTTACCCCGCCCAGCGCAGCCCGGCGACGAGCAACCCGTTGACAGCTGAGCCGGGCCCGCTGGCTGCTGCACACCGATTCCGAGAGTCGCTCTGTCTCACTCGCACCCCCACGCTCCGCCCCTTGAGTGCGAGAGAGACAGAGGGAGACTCTCGGAATCGGTTTGCTGGCTCTGGATTTTGGGAGCCGAATCCGCGTCCCAGTGCGTCCCCAGGCTGCAGTCGTTGTGCAGCACTATTGTCGCCCCCCTCCCCCCTCGCGGCCCGCAGTCTACTTCTCGGTGTCGCTCTGTGCGAAAGAATCACTCCTTGTTCCGTTGTTTCGCTGTCGCGGTGCATCGGTCGGCGCAAGCTTCGCTGCTTCGCCAGGCAGCAGAGTGATTCCGAACGTCGTTTTCGTCGCTCTGTCTCTCTCGCACTCACGGGGCGTCCCGTGTGGGTGCGAGAGAGACAGAGCGACGAAAACGACTCTCGGAGTGAGTCCGCAGGCGCAGGCAGGCCAAGGCGGTGATAGGGCAGGCGTTGGCCTCGGGGCAGGCAGAGCGAGGCAGGGCAGGGCAGTGCCACCGCGGTGTCGTCGGCGTGGTGTCGACGGCCAGGTGCCATGCTAATTCGCCGCCCCCCTATCTGGCCGCCACTCCACTGATAGTCCGTCGGCGAGGCGCTCGCGGAACGGCCATGCCCAGCCAGGCCAGGCGGACGCTGTGGCTGCCCATGCTGGCCGTGCCGCTCTGTCTCTCTCGCACTCATGGGGCGTCCCGTGCCGGCGCGAGAGAGACGTGGCGACGACAACGGCTCTCGGAATGAGTCTGGCCGTGCTGGCCCAGAATGCGGCCGGCCGGGTCCTTCTGGGACGCCACCGCCCCGGCGTTCCCGCGAACCGAAGAATAATTTTCTTTGCCGATGGAATGGTACACTGATGAAGCAGGAGGCTGGGCCGTGCTGCGCTAACACTGCGCCGCCTGAGGCACAGCCAGAGGCTGCCTGCCCTGCCTGCCCACCCACCAGAGAGTGTGTCCGAACAGTGCTCCGTCTCTCTCGCACCCCCACGGCACGCCTCATGAGTGCGAGAGAGAGGGAGAGCTCTGTTCGGACGGTGTGCCGGCGGCCTGCCTGTGCGGCTCTGAGCCTTGGGGCGAGAAGGGACTCCCCTCCCCTCCCCTCCCTCCCCCGCGTTGTCCTGCTCTCCCCCAGGACGCCTCCCCCTCCCCCCGCCGCCCCCGCGCCGTCCTCTGCCCCCTCAAAGTCTCGCCGCCGCCCCACCCCCCAGACATGTTGCCGTGTCGTGTCGTTTGGTTTCATTCCTGCAGACTGATTTCGAGAGTCGCTCCGTCTCTCTCGCACTCATGGGGCGTCCCGTACAGGTGCGAGAGAGACGGAGCGACGAAAGCGACTCTCGGAACCAGTGTGCTGGCCGTTGGTCCGGCTGCAAAAGTTGTAAATCGTGGCATTGCGGAGGAGAGACAGGCGGCCGCGCGACGCCAAGGGCTTAGCGGGACCTCGCGCCTACACCGTACAGACGCTCGCGGGGATGGCGGGACGGCGTTGTAGCGGGAAGAGCGGAGGCTGGGACGAGGCTAGGCGTGCCCGTTGAGGGGGGAGGGGGGAGGCTAGACCGGAGGATGTATGGAACGGGCGAGGGGAAAGAGGGGGGGGGCGCTTAGGTCAAGGCGGAGAGGACGACATGCGCCAAGCACCCTTGAGCCTGGCGCCGCCGACGCGTTACACCCTCCCCGCCGTGGTCGTGCTGGCCGTGCCCCTGCCCGGCACGGCGGTACGGGCGGCACGGGGAACGGCGGTGCGGTGCGTGAGGAGCAAAGTCTGTTCGGCATAGCGTTGGGGTGTTGACCGCGCCGCACGCACGCAGTCACGCACGCGTGTGCGGCGTGGCGCGCGTGCAGGCGGACGGCCAGACAGAACGTCGTGGGAAGTGTCTGCAGCCCCGCGACTCAAAAGTCGGAACGGGTATCGGGTTGTCTTGGGTCAGTGAGTACCCGCTGCTCCGCTCCGCGCGCTCCGCTACTCCGCGCGACAAGCTGACAGGCGCGCTCGCTGGCGAGGGCGATGACCCTGGTCGTCCTGGACACGGTGCGCGGCGCGGCCGTCGTCCCGTCGGCCTGGCGGAGGCCCTCCAGGGTGGCGTGGCGGGGTGGGGCGCGGCGCGGCGCCCCCACAGCGACCCTCGGGGGGTTGCCGCGTCGCCGACGGCCACCCTCTGGCGGCACCCTCGGCCTGGCGGTGCGCGGCGGGTCGAAGTCGCACTCTAGCCGCGCGGCGTTGCCGTCGGAGCCGCAGGGCCGCGAGGTGGAGGACGTGGCCGTCGAACTTCGGCCTCTGCATTTTCATTTTTGCGAGCGGCAGGCGGATCGCTCTCTCTCTTGCACGTGAAGGTGCGAGAGAGACACAGCGACGAAGCGCTGCGCGGAATCAGTCTCTCCGTCTGCACGATGGCGTGGTTTCCCTTTCCTCGTGATAGTGAGGCGCGGCGCGCGGCCCCGCCGGCCGGGTTCCCGGTTCGCGTCCCGCCGCCTTTGGCGTTTTCGCTCTGCCCCGTTTCCCTTCTCTCCCCGACTCGGCGTGTTTCGGCCCCGTCGTTTATTTGGCCGACATTCGCTGACCCCAAATATCCGAGCGACCGCCTTTTGAATCCCCCCCCCCCCCGGTCAATGAAGGGACCTGGTTGCGCCCCCTCCCCCTCCCCGTCCCGCGTCTTGCATGCAGATTGCGGAACGGGTTGCCTCGTCTTTTTTCGGACGTTGGCCAACGCGAAGGCGTCTGACTTTCGCGCCGCTGGTGTGGTGGTGCGTCTGTGTGCGCGTGTGTCCTGCTTGGTAACTGCAGACGCCTTGCTCCGCGCTGCTTCGCGCCTCGCCTTGCTTGACAGATGCGCGCTGGGCTGGGTCAGTGGGCCACCGCCGCCACCGCCTGGCCGCGGCGTGTGGCGCTGTGGGGCTTCCCTGTGTATCGCTCACTCGAGGACGGCCACGGCTTTGTTGGTGTAGGCGGGGTGGTGGTGGCGGCGCGCTTGGAGCGCTTGGCACCTTTGGTGTGTTTGGCGGCCCGCTGCCCCGCCGGCCCCGACAGAGATAGCCCACACACCGCACGCGCCCCGGCCGCCCTCGCGGTCAAGGCGAAGCAGGCCAAGCTTGTCGTCTCTTGCTGCCTGCCCTTCGAGCTTGGCGTGGCCTCGCCGGCCTCGCCTGGCGCCGACTGCCCCGCCATGGCAACGGGCGGGGCGGGTGCGACCTCCACGTGGGGGGCAGGGCCGGCGGGGTCCTCGCGGCCACGTGTGGGGCCACAGAGCTATCGCGGCGCTATCGCCATTATCATGGTGAGGTTCCCCAGATACAGCCAGGAAGCGCTTATCACTCCCGCGGTGCTGGGAGCGCGGCATGTGCTGACCGCGCCCTCGCAGGGCGCGCCCCGGGGGCGTGGCTAAATTTTCAGAGTCGAGTCTGGACCGAGAGTTTTTGAAAGAGGCTGTACCCTTGTGGAAGTGACGACGGCTACCGGCCTCGCCGTGGCGCAAGGTCCGAAGGTGTCTCGCCCGCCTGGCTGCCCCGCCTGCCCCGCCTCTCGGCGGCCAGGCGGGCCGGCGTCAGAGTCCGACGGTCGAGCTGGCCGTCGACGGTGGCGGCGGCGGACGCGGACACGAGACCTCGGCGTCGGCCCCGGGCCGCGGTTGCCCAAAGCGAGTCACGGCGCTAGAGAAAGTCCTCGGCGGCACGGCGCCCCCTTTCCCGCACGCCTGGCCTTCCTGCTCAGCCTTCCCGCCGGCTGGCTTTTCTCCGGAGCGCCGCGGGGGGCGCGGGGGGGGCGGGGACGGGGTGCATGAAGTAGGTTGGCGGTGGTGGGGCGAAAGTACTCGGTCGACGTAACGCTGCGATGCATGAAATTCGCGCGCCCGCCGCCACGCCACGCCGCGCCACGCCGCCGTCCGGGAGGTCAGACGGCGCGGCGGCGCCTTAGAAAAGCGCGGCGAGGTTGGCGGGGGTGGCGGTGCGCTGGGAGCGCCGCCGCGGGCGGCCGTGCTGCAGCCTGATTCCGAGAGTCGTCGTCGTCGCTGTGTCTCGCCCCAGGAGTGCGAGAGAGACAGCGACGAAACCGACCCTCGGCAACAGCCTGCTGGCCGGCCCTGCCTATTCGCAACGGGCGCCTCGCGAATCGCAACGCGACGCTCTAGACGCGAGCGGCGAGCGAGAGGGACAGAGACAGAGTCGCTTGCAAGGTCGTAACAGACTGGCCGCCGCGCTGTATTTTACTTTTCGCAAGCCTCCCCTCCTCCGCCACCTCCTTGAACGTCGTCGTCACGGCGCCCCTCCACCCCCGCGGCCCCTAGACACGCCAAATTGCGACACGGCCGTCGCAGCCGCCCCGCCGCCCTGACGGTGATGTGTCCGTCGGCCGGCCCTCTTGGCCTGGCCGGTCCGGTAGTTTGGGCCGCTTTGTGCAGCGGCCTTCCTCGACTCCCCGCGGCGCGGCGTGGGCGGCACGGCGCGGCGGGACGACGCATCAAGTTCCCGGCCTGCCTGTTCCGCGGGGAGGTGGAGGGGGGGGGGGCGTTTCGCGAACAACGCCGAGCCGATTGGCGGACCCGGAAGTGTGCCAAAACGTCACGAAATGAAAAGGAGGGGGTCCGGCGTGCCGGACGTGGCGGCAACATGCAGCATGCCGATTCCGATCAGTGCTTTCGTCGTTGTCTCTGTCGCACTCCTCGGAGTGCCATGGGGGTGCGAGAGAGACGGAGCGACGAAGCTCTGCTCGGCCGGCCGGCGTGGCGGCGGCGCGGCGCGGCGCCTTTGGATTCCCCGCCAGGCTGCGCCAGGCCGCCTGTTTGAATGGCGTGCTGGGAGGCGGGTTACGTGTGTGGCCGGCCCGGCCAGCCCAGCACGGCGGGTTTGGCCCCGGTTTCCCGAAAGTCCCATCCTCTTTGGCGCGCCCGCGCCTCGGCGCCTGGCCACCTGGCGCCGAGCGTCGCGCTGTCTCGCTCCCACCCACACGGGGCGCCCCGTGAGTGCGAGGGGGACAGAGCGACCACGACGGCGCTGGCTCCACCGCGGCCGCGACGTCGGCGGGCGGCGCCAGCGTGGGGCGCCTCGCGGGAGCGGGTCTGGGCGCCGGCCGCCACCTGTGGGCTGTGGGACGTCCCGGTGGCCCCGGGCTGCCCCGCCGAGACCCGCGTCACCGGGCTGCACTTGCCACAGGTGCGGACGACGCCGACGTCACCCCGGCGTCGTCGGCGTGCTCTGCAGTGAGTGGCGGCCGAGCCGAGCCGGGGCCGCGGAGTCGTGAGACCTTGCTCACGGTCGCCGCCGCCCTCACCGCCCGGGTCGTGATGGTCCCGACGGTGTAAATATCGAAGCGACTTTCGATTGTGATAGCTCCCCCGCCTCGGCGCGCGTGCGTTCAAGTCGCCCCGCCCCCTGTTTCTCCGCGCCAGGTGACTAACGTGCTCGTTCTCCTTGCTCTGCAGCCAAGCCGTCAACGGCGTCGCCGTGGAGGTCCCCACCGTGGTGACGACCGCCATCACCACCACTGCCGTCGCCGCCTCCGTGCCCGTCGCCGCCCCCGTGGCGCCCGTCTGCCCGGACAGCGCCGACAGCGCGAGCAGCGGCCTGGACAGTGCGGACGGCGAGGACGAGGACGACGGCAAGGTGGCCCCCCTGGAGCTGTTCCTGTGGTCGTACCCCAACCAGCTGTCGCCGTTCAGCGGAACCAAAGTAAGTGGAGCTGGAGGCCCGGAACGAGCGGAACGCCTGGAGGGTCGCCGTCGGCCGGCGCGGGGGAACGACGCCGTTTCGAAATAGAGCAGTGCGTGACTGTCCGCGGGACGCAAGGGTAACTGCGGTCGTTTTACGAGCGCCACGCGCAGAGGGCATCGTTACCGACGTTACAGCCCGGGGGGTCGCGGTCTCCCGTCTACCGCAGGCTGCTTTCCAACGGCACTCTGTCTCTCTCGCAGCCCCGCGGGGCGGTCCGCGAGTGCGAGAGAGAGGCGCGCGCCGTTTTGGCCGCGGGGGGTGTGCCAAGCGCGCAGCGCGCATCGCGCATCGCGCAGCGGCCCTCATTGTGTGTGGTGGCGGGCTGCCCATCGGATGCGTGGGGCGGTGGCGGCACGGCGGCACACTGGTGGCGTTTCGGGTTCGGGGCGCCGGCCAGCCGGTGCCGCCTGCCGCCTTGGCGCCAATCCTTTGGGGCTAAAAAAAAGGTGGATAGCGCCGTTGGGGTCGTTGCGTCGTCGTCGCCTCGCCCTGGCCGTGCCCTGGCCGTGCCCCGGCCGTGCCCTTCGGCGGTGCCGGCGGTGGCGGTGCCCGCGGAGCGGCAAGGTTATGTAGGCAGGCCGTCGCCGTGGTCATTTCCCCCGCCGCCGTGCCGCCGTCCTGTCCCCACCTTCCCGTCACCTTGGCGGCGGCGGGGCGCGGCGTGGCGTATCCGCTCTGAAACCCATTTTGGTTCTTTTTCAACGGCGATCGACGGACGGCTTGCGCGGCACAGCGCTAGCGCTCGGCCTGGCGGACCTGGCTCGGCCGCCAAAGGATCGGATCGGATCGACGCCTCCCCCCCCCCCCCCCCCCCCGGCTCCGATATCGGGAGCGTCGCGGCGTCGATACCTAGCCTCTCATTGTCATGGTGCGTTGTCCGCCTGTCTGTCTGCCTCTGCCTGTCCGTCTGTCTGCCTGTCCGTTTCGCAGGATGTGACGTCACCCGTCTGCTGGGTTTTCAGCAGCGTTCCCGCGCCTCCGTCAGGCTGGCGGTGCTTGAGCCCCCTTCGCCGTTTTCCCAAGGGGTGACGTCATCCGTTTTTTCGGGTTTTCCTGGAGGGAAAACGTGGCTGTGGCGGCGTACTAGCGCGGACCGCCAACGGTCGTGTCGGCATTGAAAACCGCGGCGGGGGGCAGACCAGACGTATCTGCACGGGAAACGGCGCTGCCTTGCCGAGCGGCTCGAAGCGACTCGCTCCGTCTCTGTCGCACTCACGGGCCCTCCGCTAGGGTGCGAGAGAGACAGCGCTCGGCTGCTGCCTGCGGGCTGCGCGCCCTGCGGGTCTGGCTGCTGTTGGCGGAGGGGGAGCGGTTTTCGCGCGGCGCGGACGTGGCCGTCAGGCCGTCGCCGCGATCCCGGACGGACGCCTCTCCCGGTTTCTCCCTCGGCCGCGGCGCCGCGGTGCTTCCTCGTTTTTGGCGCCTCCAGCACGTTTCGCCTGCCTTGTGGGCCGCCTCGCTCTCTCGCTCTCATGGGGCGTCCCGCCCAAGTGCGAGAGAGACAGACTCCTTTCTTGGTCGGCTAGCGCCACCGCCACCGCCCGCCGCCGTGGAACTGTGGAACTCGAAGCGCACGGGACTCGTCTCACTCTCTCACTCTCACGCTGCGCTCTCACTCTTGCCCCCTGGGAGGCTCGGTCGGCTCATTCCGAGAGTCGTTTTCGTCGCTGTCTCTGTCGCACTCGTGGGGCGTGCCGTACAGGTGCGAGAGAGACAGAGCGACGAAAACGACTCTCGGAGTGAGTCTGCAGGGCCGTAGCGGGATGGGCAATGTGCACGCCGCCGTCCCCCCTCGGCCCGGACCGGACTCGGGGCTGCCGCCGCGCTGCCGGCCAGGGTCCCGTTGGAGCCGAACCGCTTTGAGGTCTTGTAGTGCGAGTGTTTGGAGGTGCGTGCGCAGAAAAATGGGAGCAGCGCGCGGTGACACGACAACGGTGGTGACGGCGGTGGCGGCGGCCGCGTGTCGCAACGCGGGGCGTGGCGGGGGAGGGGGAGGGGGGAAGGCGGCGGCCCTAGCGACAGGCAGGCCCGACGGGCCCCACCGACTGAATCGTGCCGTTGAGCGAGCTCCATTTAGATTTTAGCAACCCGTGGTCGCTTACACCGAGCTGCGGCTCTGTGTTGCTTTTTTGCTGGTTCTTTCTCTGCGCGTTGCTCGTCTCTGCAACTCGAGAAGGGGCGCGGGCGAGCTGCCGGGTGTTGAATTTAGCCGACGTGGCGCTTCTTTTTTTGACGGCGAATCTCGCTCGCGTCGGCGGCTTTTTTACTTTCTTTCGAAATTGGTTTTGCCGTTCTTTTCGCCGGCGCTGCCGCTGCTTGCTGGTTGTCTGTCCGGGCGGGATGGCGCTACCCCGCGCAGTCGCCGCCGCCGTGGGTATAGGCGGCGATACTCCGCGCCCGGAGCCCGGCGTAGGGAAGGCCCTCCCCGGAGCCAGACCGACTCTGGAGCTCAAAACGCGTCCAGAGTTTTGGCCGTCACCGTGCGTTGCCGAGCGGCGTCGGCTGGTCCGGCCACGCGCGGCGCAGCCGTTGACTCCTGCGCTTCCTGGGCCACGCGTTGCGTTTCCGTTTCCGGGCGTGGAGCGAAGACGCGCGCAGGGCCGGGCCGCCGGGCCGCGACCGTTTCCGGCGCCATAGACTTGCCCGGAAACGGGCCCTGTTTCCGGTCCGCTCGCGAGGCTTGATTTTTTTTGGCGCGCGTGACCAGGTGTGACGCTGGGCTGGCGCGGGCGTCACGGCACGTCACGCTACGTCACGTTGGAGCCCCCGCGCCCTTCCTTGTTCCTTCCGCCGCGTGTGTACGTTTGGCCCCCGCCGGCCAGCAGCCGAGAGTCGCTCTGTCCTTCTCGCACTCATGGGGCGTCCCGTGCAGGTGCGAGAGAGGCAGAGCGTCGAAAACGACTCTCGGAATCGGCCTGGGCTGCTGCTGGCTCTGGCGCAGTGTAGGCGCCACACCCCCGGCACTATATTTAGAGCACGTGGTGCTGCAGTTAAGCCGACTGCTTTGGCAGCATCCAGACCGCCTTGCCTCGCCTCGCCTCGTCCCGACGTGGCCGACACACACAGACACACACGAGGCCCGCCGGCCGTGGCTTGCGGGATGGGGCGGGGAAGGGGAAGGGGCGTGATTCGAACCAACTGGGAAGGGAAGGGAGGCCCCCTCGGTGTACTGCACCAAGATGGTGTTGGGTGGTTCAATCAAGTTGCATCATGGTGCAACTAATTTTTGTTTGCGTACAGTTAACTGACCGTCTGTTTCTCTTTTGTGTGTCTGCAGGACGCGCTGGTACGAGAAATCCCATGTGAGGTGCCCCAGGACAGCAAGGGGCTGCGCAAAAACTTGCGTGGCAAGTGGAAGCGACTGGTGAAGAAGAAGCCTGAGGACACGTGCAGCATTCCTCCTGAGCTGCGGGACCAGCTGAAGCAGATCTACGTCTATTGAGCCCAGCCCAGCGCAGCGTACCCCCTAGAGTACCTTAGAACAGGGTGTAAAGCCTCACATTCCATATTACTCAATGACTGTAGCCATATCGGTGTTACCTATTTAATTTAAACTGTAAGACGTGAAGGAGGGAAGTGCTTCGCTCCTCTCTGGAAGGTGTGCTTTGCTGCTGTTGCTGTGCTCTGTGAATAAGGAGGCAAAAGGGGAAGTACAAGAGAGACGGGGCCATAGGCAAGGAGTGTCGTTGCAGAGACAGACTGATGAAAAATCGAACCAACCCCTCCAGCAATTTTGTTATTGAGACTGAAGAGAAGTCAAGTTATGACAGCAAGGACCTGATGACAAGGTGACGTGGACGTACATGAAATCGCTTTCTGTGATCTTGCTTGACGATTGTACGTAGGGGCCCAATTGAGTGGGGGCACAGCACCACGCCCTTGAGCTGCCATAGCTGTCGGCATCAAATGCTGACATGTCTATCAAGACTCGGATAGCGTCAATTTGTGCCGAAAGGTACAGATTGTGCTGCTGAATCTGGTTGGCAAGAGGGCTTGTGCAAACTGTTACTGATAATTTGTGTGGCTCATATTGAGCTGATTGTGTAATTAGGTTTAAAGTTGTCGTGTTTGAAACAAGGCTTTCAAAGTTTGGTTTTCTTTTCTTTATTGAGAAAGAAAAGTTCAGTTATTTAAATGTGGCATTCCCTGTAAAGACAATTGTGGCCATAATAGGTTTCTTTCCCCAATCAAAGTAAAATTCGCAAATCTGGAATGTAATTTTGTTTTTGCTGCATTCAAATTTAGCATATGACCGCTGTAAACTGATTGCTACCTGCTAAGATAGTCTTCTGTTGGTCGTTGCTGGTGATCTTAAGTTTCAACATATACCTGATTTATAATAACTGTAGTATTGAATGAATAGTTTGTGACAGTAAATTATTTCCATATTTAAGTTTGAAGTCAATCTGTCAATATCAGTATTTTTATTTGTATTAATTTGTCGGTAGTATTACAAGAAGATTTCAACGCAGTGCTGGTTGATGTGCTGATAGGTACTTATTCCTTGATACTATTGCTCAGTTGAACAATACTCAAATTTGGTACTCACAATGTATGTGATAGCTTTTTTTTGGTAACATGACGAAACGTACTGCAGTTAATGCCACAAATGTTCAGTTGACTTGAATAATGTCAGGTGTGAAGATATCTTGTGTCTACAAGATACTTATGTTTGTGACTTGTTCCAAAATGTTAAAATGGTTTTCATTTGGGTTTTAGAGACCTTATGTGACAACGTGGCTTAAACTAGTCAAGACTTACGTTTATAAGGTGAGGTGCACCTACACTTTGAATCCTTTTCTGGCTACTTAGAAAATTCAAATTGTACCTTTTGAGTTCCTCTGTGAAAAGCTTTTTTTTTAAATCTGAAGTGTTTGCTGTTTTTAAAAAAAATAGACGAGCAGGAATGTTATCATTTTTCTTATTTCTGTCATTGTACAACAATGTGAAGATGAGAAATAAATAAAGTGGCAAAAGAATTTTTGTGAGTTTTCTCGTTAATGTCCACCCCATTTTTCAACATCAAAATCCACCACGACATCAATCATTGAATGTCGATGTAGTCCAACGATCGTGGCCTCTGCTCGAGAGCTTCCGCCGAACGCCTGCGGGGTTGTCAGCCCTCGCCTCGGTGCCGAGTGGGTCTTCACCATTTTTCCACACGCTCCGCGTGGAATCTTTGAGGACGACGGAAATCTTCTCCCTGCCGCAGCGATTCGTGGGCTTCGGACACTTCCGCGCCACTTGCTGGCCTCGTGGTGCCCCACCCCCTGCCCCTGCCGCCCCCACGCCCCCTGCCGGCGCCGGGCCCAAGCTCCCCGGGGGTGGCGCGCGGGCGGCGCGGGGGCGGGGATTGGGGGCGGCCAGGGGCGGCAGGCTCCAGTTTGACACAAGGCGCTGGACGGGCGTATCGACCAGGCCGCCACAGGGCGACTCCGAACGGCGCTTCCGTCGCTCTGTCTCTCTCGCACTCACGTGGCGCCCCGCAGCGGTGCGAGAGAGACGGCGCGACGGCGCGCCGTTCGGAGCGAGGCTGGTGGCGGCCGCCCCGCCATCGAGGCCGCCATTGTGAACGGGGCCTCACCTGACGGCGCCTCGCGGCTGGCGGCGCTCTCGGCGCGGTCCGCGGGCCTCGACGCGATGCCTTCCCGCCTGTCCAAGCCCTCGGCCGCCTTGGCCTCGGCGGAGGGACGGGCGGGCAGGGCGGGCAAGGCCCTCGGCAAGGCCCTCGGCAAGGCCGGCACGCAGCTGGAGCTGGAGCGCTGCATTCGACGCAGCCGCCGCATCCGCAACATGCCGCCCAGCTTCCAGGCCCTGGAGCCCGCCAGGAAGCCCCGGAGACGCACCAACAGCACCGAGGTTAGCCTGCTTGCAGCGTGTCTGCCGTCCGGGCCGGGGGACTTGTCCGCGTTGCCGCGCGCACGACGGCGTGCTCGCGGCCCGGGCCGCCAGGCGCGCGCTGATTTCCACTGGTCTGGGTTCTGGGTCAGCAACGTGACAGTGACAGCGACGGGACAATCTGGGCAGACGAGAGCCGCGCTGCCCATAGGGCGGGGGCGCGGCTCGGTGCTCACTACCTCGCTACAGTGTAGTACAGCCCTGCCGCGCTGCCCTGCAGTGGACTGCTGGCACCCATCACCAGCCCGCCGTACTTTGCACCTCGGCGACGGCACGGCCGCGGGGCTGGCTGGCGCGGCCGCCAGGGTCGCCGTGGCGACGCTAGGAGCTTTGGACGTGTCCAAGTGCCGGCGGAAGCGGGGAAGGGAAGCAACAGGAGGACCGGCCTGGTTTGATTTATGACTAGGCGAGTCACGCCGCCCTGGCCGCCCCGCCCTAGCAGCCCCACCCCGCCCCGCCTCGACCCGGCCACCCCACCCTGACCACCCCGCCCTGACCGCGGTACCATTCTGTCACGGCGCTTGCGATTGGGGTCGACTTGCGTCTAGTTCCAACCTGGATGCACCCTTGTTGCATCTGCTTGCGCCTGATTGCACCCCTGCATGAGCTCACAGCCCAGTCGCATTTGGCACGCCTTGTACTCATGCAGTGCGGTCGCATCCTTTTCCGCGAACAAAATGAGACAGAGAAAAAAATGCAATCAATGGGTTCTCTATCAGATGCCCCATGAGAGCGAAGGGACGCTGGCGCGCGCTGGCGTTCTCAAGACGTCACCGTCTGTGGGCTTCGCAGACAAAAGGCTCGATGAAGTCGTTTTGCTGATTAGATTGAAAGAGAGCTTGCACCGAAATCGGGATTGTCACTGCGGTGGGCTGACCTGGAACCTGGAACTAGACAGACTCAACTTTATCGCGCTCCGAAGCGCCTGCGAATCTGAGGGTAGGCCGTCCCGTCAGACGCGTTGGCGTTACGGGTCGCCCGCCCTCCGTGCCGCCAGGCGCGCGGGCCGGAATACCGGTGGAGGCGGCCCACTGTTCGGGGCCGAGGACGCCAATGGTACTGACGGTGTGGTTGTTGCAGAGCCCCGTGGATGTGCTGCCCAACGAGCTGCTGATGCAGGTGTTCCGGCACCTGGACATGAAGTCCCTGGTGGCGGCCAGCCAGGTGTGCCACCGCTTCCGCGACGCCGTGCTGACGGGGTGCGTGTGGCGGGGCCGCACGCTGTCCTGGAGCGGCGACGACCGCCAGGCCTCGCAGACCGTCAAGACCGTCATCAACATCCTGCGGCTGGCGCCGTGCCTGGACACGGTGAACCTGCGCCACGTGCCGCTGTCGCTGGGCCGCACGCTGCTGCAGGGCCGGCTGCGCGCCGTGCGCTCCCTCAAGGTGTCCGACCAGGAGGTGTGCACGTGCAACATCGCGCGCGTGCTGCGTCGCTTCGGCGCCACGCTGCAGCACCTCGACCTCAAGCTCAAGATGACGGACATGTCGGAGCAGCGCGTGCTGGAGCTGTGGGAGAGCGTGAACCAGATGAAGCAGCTTCGGTCGCTGCGGCTGGCGGGCTACCTGCCGTGCCGCCTCACCTACAGCTTCCCCACGCGGCTGCTGCCGGACCAGACCCTGGTGGCGCTGGACCTGCACGACTTCGAGGCGGACCACGCCGTCACCATGCTGTCGCTCATCGCGGCGCACAACACCACCATCGCGAGGCTCACGCTGCCCGACTCGCTGAGCGAGGACGAGTCGCGGCGCGCGCTGGACATGCTGCGCGTGGCGGAGGACATCGACATGCCCATCGGCGGCCACATCGCGCACCTCAACGGGCTGCCGCTCAAGCGGCTCACGCTGCGCCACAAGGACGAGTCCTGCTCCAGCCGCTTCCTGGAGAACGCGTCCGAGTGCACGGCGCTGGGCGGCGTGGAGGAGCTCTGCCTGTCGTGGAGCGACGGCGACCTGCGCGACCCCGTCCTGTCCAGCCTGGCCGCGCTGTGCCCCGAGCTGCGCGTGCTGCGCCTGCACAACATGTGCGACGACAAGGCGCCCGGCCTCATCGAGACCGTCATGGAGTTCAGCCAGATCCAGGAGCTGCAGCTCGACAAGTTCTACCCCATGGACGTGCAGTTCGTGGACGAGCTGGCCATGGGCGCGCTGCCGCTGCTGCGCCGCCTCACGCTGCGCGACGTCCTGATCGGCGTGCCCCACGCCAGCCCCGCGCGCTGCCCCACCAACCCGTGCTACGACCACCACTTCGACCGGCTGTCGCACCACCGCCAGAACCTCACGTTCGTGTTCCACGACTTCCCGGAGTGCTGGCACCGCAAGTCCAGCATCGAGCACCGCCTGGCCTGCTCGTGCGGCCGCTGCGCGCGCTTCTACGCCCACATGGCCGCCAACTACAACGACGGCGTCATGCCGGCCTTCTGGGAGCCGTAGGGCCGCGAAGCGCCGCGGCCCGCATGGAAGTCAAGGCCACGGCCAAAGGCCACGGCCTTGTTTTGTTTTCTTATTCGTCACTTTTGCATGTAGAGGCCTCGAACCCAGGCGTTGGAAGCGAGGCCATGCAATCGACTGCATTTTTATTTCTTCGTTTTCGGCATGGAGTGTCATCCACTCAAAATGTCGACGGGGGGCGCCATATGGTTGAAAACGTAGCGTGTAAGTACATATATATATATTGGAAGTCTTCATCTGATTAACTTTAGCAGAAGTCTTTCTTGTTTTATCGTTTTGTCCCGAAAGGGAAAAATATGGTCGGCGGTGAATCCATTGATTGCTAGCTAAAAATGTTCTTGGAAGAAAAAAAATACGTACGTTAAGGGTTTGGAGCTGGGGGAGTGATTTAATACTTGTTTTTGTTTTCAAATTTTTGTTCGATGCGTGTTTATTCTTGTGTTTATTACAAGAGGGATCCAAGCTCTTGCCTTGGCCTCAAGTCACAGTTGGTTGTGAATTAAATTTACATCAGGGGCAGATGGCTCCTTCCAAACCTTCTGCCTCTGATGTGAATCACTTTCTACTTAGAGGTTGATCTTCTAAATGGTGTCAGAAATGGAAATATTTGGTGGTACATTTAAATGAAAGTTCTATTGACTGGTATAAAGTTATTTCTTGTTATACTCGATTTTTCTGTAAATATTTAGCCTTCCCTTTCATCTGTTTAATACTTAAAGAAACAACTGCATTCTTTAATAGCATTTGTAAGTTCCTGGAAGGAGATGTTACTCCTACCTTCTTTTGTACAAAGTGTAAATAAACACAGTTTCCTTCAAGGAAACCAGGTCCACTGACTCCACAAAAAGGTAGACGCTGTCCGCCACTACTGCTCTGCAGTGTGGTTAAGCATAGTAGTTTTAACTAGAAAATAGTGTGTAAATTGGAACTATGTTCCTATGTCATCGTGGTTTACAAGGAAATTAGGTTTGTCTCATGTAGCGGCGCTACCCGCGGCTGCTTTGCAGTGTGGTTTGCAGCCCAATGAGTAAGTAAACTAGTCTAGTATTGTTTAGTGAGTCCTGTTTGGTTTATTTTCGATTCATTTTCGATTCATTCGAACTCTTGGCGCCGAAGGGACCCCCAGGTAACCGCTTGTTCCGGGTGGCCTGAGGCCTCGCCTGAGGCCTCGCCTGAGGCTAGGCGGGTCACGCGGGAACCACGTAGATTAATTGTTCCGGGCGTTGGGCTAACAACAGGACGGGAGGGTTGCCTACGGTTGGTCTACCACGGTGGGGTAGGCAACCCATCGCGGACGTGTGTGAAGCCTAACACTCGGTACAGCTGGTTGGCTACAAAGTTTCCAAAATGTTTAGAATAGTCTGACTACTTTTGTTCTCCAAGCACCGACAGAAGCAGTGGGTGACATTATTGTAATTTGTTCAGGGAGGAATGAATGGCCTCGCGCGAGTGAACAAAATATTGTAAATACATGAATAAATAGTTGTAAGTCTGTAAAGGAATGCACGACGGTCTTGAGCGTAGTTAAGCTCCTCGCAGGCCAAAGTGATGTTGGCTGTCTCAACTTTTAATAAAGACTTAAGTGAAAAGTGATAGTATCAAAGATATAGTTCAGTTATGACTCGTGACTTGGACCCATAAGGCCCTTTTGTGCACATTGGTTGTGGACAATTGTTCAAATACATATTTTAGCATTTGACCTGTTTAGACATGGGTGGTTTAAACGGAACGTATACGAACCTTAAAATGTTGTAAATTGTAGCTAAACACATACATACTGCGAATACTCAAGTGACGAAAACTCCCTTTCCTCTTCTGTGATGTTTGCTTTCGTTCAATAATTAACAGACCTTGTACTGTAAAAAAAAATCATAATTCATAATCTATTTGTGTCTTAATTTACTCTCATACTTGCATTTCTTTGTGTGATCGACTCAAATGCTCATGCAATATAGACGCAACCGAAAAAAAATGCGCGAAAAAATAAAATAAACGTGTTTTCTTTTTTATAAAACGAGTTGCAATTATTACCATGTGTCATTCACAACCAACACACCGTAACTTAAGGAGAGCGGTGCTCTTTGTACGGACGGCGTGGTCTAAGCCTTTCCAGTCATGTCAAGGCGAGGACAGCCTGGGTGATAGGCCACCCATCAGACAGTGGTGCGCGTTGGGATGCGTACTGTGCGCCCGCCCACTGGCGCCCTCTCTCGGACTTCGCCAGCACTAGGTGGGGCCAGGACGAGAAACTGCTGGCAACATTCCAAAAAACGAAAGACACCAAAGCCACAGTCTCCTTCGTTACTCGTGCTCCAGCAGTTATTTCAAACTTTTGAAGCATAAGAGTATGAAATGTGCCAACTTGATACGTGCTACGGTCTACCTGTTGGAAAGAATAGGTCACGTTTCTCATGGCGGTGAGGTTGGTGGTTTTGAAAAGCCGTGTGTTTTTGTTTTGCTTTTAAACGTCTGTCGGCCATTCAAATTTGAAAATCAGCAGAAATCTCAACAACATTATTTTGATGTTAATGGCAAATCCGTGCTTTGACTTTTAACCTACTGTACGTATCGACACTTGGCTTGCTTGAAGAAGCAGTTTGCAATTACTCTTGGTGTGATGGTGGCTGGATGTCGATGAAATCGACGAGACCAGAGTCGCTGTTGCTGGCGCGTTGGATTAATTTTAACCGAGATCTCTTTAATTAAACCTTCCCGCTTATTGGCTTCTCTTTCGAAATATAAATTAAAACTTGATTTTTCAGAATCATGCAGCCATATGTCAGGTCCCATTCATTCCGCCCTGCTGAGACGTTGTTTTCTGACGGTGTTTAGGTTAGTGTCTTCTCTCACAGATTCATGTTTGTTGTTGTCAGGACTTTGAAGCCGAGAAGATGGCTCGCTACCCCGTGCTGCGTGGTCTGTACGAGCTGGACAAGACTATCGGTTGTGGAGGATTCGCGAAAGTGAAGCTTGCCACACACATTCTGACAGGAGAAAAAGTTGCCATCAAGATTATGGACAAGCGCAGTTTAGGGGTCTGTATTTTCAATGTCGCATTGAAATTTTTTTGTCTCTTTTGGTGTTACTTTTTACACCGTCACATTAACTGCTTCTTTCTTTTTTTACTAGGAAAATCTACACAGGGTACGAGTTGAACTAGATGCCCTACAGACTTTGTCACATCATCATATAAGCCAGCTGTATCAAGTTCTTGAAACTGAGTCCCATTTTTTTCTTGTAGTAGAGTACTGTTCAGGAGGGGAATTATTTGATCACATTGGTTTGTATTTTATTTACATTGTATTTTACATTATGTTGAATTCATGCCTGCTGATTACATTCTCATTCTGATTTACAGTTGAAAAGAATCGTCTGAGTGAAAAAGAAGCAAGAGCTGCCTTCCGTCAAATTGTATCTGCAGTCGCGTACCTGCACAGCTTAGGTTTTGTTCATAGAGATCTAAAGCCGGTGAGTTTGTTTTCGGGTGATGAGGACTCCATTTGTTAATTCCATTGCCGTTATCGGAATTTATTTCTTTTGTTTCTCTAGGAAAATGTATTACTGGATAAGGATTTAAATATGAAATTAATTGACTTTGGCCTGTGTGCCAAACCAAATGGTGGATTGAAAGGATTTTTGTACACGTCCTGTGGCTCTCCAACATATGCTGCTCCAGAGCTTGTGCTTGGAAAAAAGTATCTTGGTACGAAATAAAATAGCATGTACATCTTAATGATACATCTGCAATATTTTTGCTGTATTTTTATTTTTCAATATTTTTTGTAGGTCATGAAGTTGATGTATGGAGTATGGGAGTTCTTCTTTACGCCCTGTTGTGTGGCTTTCTTCCATTTGATGATGATAAAATTGATACTCTATACAAAAAGATTCTTGTAAGAAACGGATTTTTATTTAGATTCAAGAGATTTTAAATGTGCCAATAAATGTAACATTTATCTCTTTTACAGGATGGCAAGTATGAAGAACCATCCTGGTTAACAATGGAAAGTAGGAGACTGATTAGATCAATGCTGCAGATCGATCCCAAAAAAAGAATCAGAGTTGATGAGCTTCTCAACCACCCATGGGTGATGCGAGGTTTCCGTGAACCTGTCTGTGTCAACAATTCAAGCAATGTGAGCATTTTTTTTAGTCAATGTTCCCTAGGTTAACATATTTATGTTTACAGTATTTTTATCCGTGTTTTCCTGTTATTTCTTTTTAGATGAAGGAGTATGACATTCAGTGTGTTGGTTTATTGGCAAGGCAGAGAAATGTCAGCCCAGAGGATATGTGGGAACTTTTGAGCAAATGGAAGTATGACTACAATACTGCTACTTATTTTCTAATGCTGAATCGAAAAAGACGAGGCCTTCCTGTGCGATTGTTTGGCCCTGGAGCAACACCATTCAGAAATTACCGAAACAATACAGTGAGAATTCTTTTACCCTGTGTGTTTGTATTTTTTGTTACATTCATGTTCTGACTATGATTTTGTTAAACAGCCTGTGGCAAGTGCTTTTGACATGCAAAGAACCCAGCAGGATTCAATCAGTGGAAGGACATTGACGACTCCTATTAAGAGGCCTATAGCAGATGGTCAGTTCAAATGAAGCACAAAAAGATTTGGGACTACTATAATTTTGCTGTGATAATTTTATTATCAGTCTGTTAAATACTATAATCTATTAACATTTGAATTTCAGATTCAACACCAGTTGTCCCAGACAAGAGAGAAAGATCAGCCTTGACTCCAGTCAATGAAGAAGCACACAGCCACTCAAACTACACTAATGCTCCCATCACAAGGCACCAGAAACAAATCAACCAAGTGTGCAAAACCCCAGCCAAACCACCTGAGCTACCAAGTGCTACTTCAAACGGGAAACGGAAACTCAACAAGCGACTACACAGTCCTGGGCCAGACGAATCGCCACTGTCTCCTCGTAAGTGGCATCAAGTCTCGCGTCTCTTCTCCTCTTAAGGCATTTTACAACAATTTTTCTGTAGAATTAACGGAAACCGCTTTGAAATTGCCAATCGAAACCCTATCAGTTTTCTCTCTCGCTTGCGCTTGCGCTCAAGAGTAGAAGAGAGCGGTCAAAAGTTCAGCCCTCCCCCTTAAACTTAATCACCCACTTTTTGTTTCCCCCTTTTTTTTCTTCCGCCTTTTGGAAAGCCCCTGCCGTTCCGCCTGCCAGCAGCAAGCGCGACTTTGTCGCCATAAGTTTTGTCTCGCCCGCTGCTGCCCCCTTCCCCTCCCCCTGGTCCCGCCCCTGTCCCTTTATCGGCCCCGCGGGGACGATGTGTCTCTGGGATGGCCCCTTCCCTTCTTTCTTGTGCCATCCTTCGCCGTCGCCGTCAGCCTGTGGGCCCGGCTGTGGCGAGGCGCGCACCTTCGGGAACCTTCACCTTGGAGCTTGCATGCAGCTTTGCAGCCGCCTTGCCTGCAGCGGCCCGGCCCGGCGTTCGTCGCCCTGTCTCTCTCGCACTCACTGGTGGTTGCGTACAGGTGCGAGAGAGACAGAGCGACGATAACACACTCGGAATCAGCCCGCCGATTGGGTGCATTGGGGTTGCCGAGGGGTTGACTGTCCGTCCGGCCTTGGTCCTTCCCGCCCCCTCCCCTCCCCTCCCCTCCCCGTGGTCCCGGACGGCTCCGGACAGCCAGAGGGCCTTGTTCTCGTCGTGGCGGTGAAGGACGGCGCTGTCGCGGAGGAAACTCTGGCAACTCCTGGAGGAGGCGAAATAAGATCGTGAACTAGCTCGGGCCGCAGCGCCTGCCTGCAGTGCAGACTGAGAGTCGCTCTGTCTCTCTCGCTCTCACGGGGCGTGCCGTGCAGGTGCGAGAGAGACAGAGCGACGGAGACGGCTCTCGGCGCAATGCGGCAGGACCCCGGCGGCTAGTTGCCGCTGGTTACCTCGTGTGACTGTTTTATTGTAATGGTCCGTGTTTTGATTGCGTCGCAGGCCGCACCAGGAGGGAGCAGCAGCAGCAGAGCGGCAAGGCGACGCAGCAAGGGACGCCGGCCGCCTGCACCCCGACGCCCGCCACCCCCGACAGGTAAGGGCCGCCAAACACCTGCAGGCAGCAAGCCAGTACGGCAAGTCGGTGTCGGTGCGGCAAAAGAATACGTGCTATAGGGGCGTCGCTGTCGCTACTCCCCGCGCGAGAGACTCGACCGCCTCCGCGGCCGGGGGGTATAGACGGGCTCGTTTCTTTTTGCGCTGTTAGTACTGCTAGCCTTGTCATTTCCGTAAAAAAGTATCACTAGCATGACTTAAAAATGCAGGTCATCACTTCTTCAAAAAAAAAAAAAAAGGTAGTCTTTCATTTATTTATTTTTTTAATACTCTGTTTGGCTTGTTTCGGGCCATTCAATTTTTAAAAATTTGTTAAAAATTTGCGCATGCGCATAAAATTGCATTTTTTTTTTGTTCTTTGGTTTGTAAGCTTTGCAATCAGAGAGTTTCTTTTTTTTTATCATGAAGTAACCACGTGGCGCTTCCTCCGCCCGCATAGAGTGACCGGTGAAAGAAAGTCGTGGAGGACCGCGGCCCAGCGCCAGGGACGCGGGGGCGCTAAAAAGTGTTCTAAAATGAGGAGAAAAGTAGAAGGGGAGTGAGAAAAGATGATGATGGCGATGGGGGAGGGAGGGCGAGGCGGGGCGGGGCGGCGGGGCGCGGGGTGTCACTCCGGCCGAGCTGGCCCATCCATCGGGCACTATATTTCACGCCGCGTGGCCACGCAGATTAAAACAAGCCACCCTGCCCCAGCCCGCCCCGCCCCGCCCTTCCCCTCCGCGAGATGGCGTCGTCTGTTCTCACAGCGACGGCGTGCCATGGCGCTCCCTCGGCAGCGTCCTCCCTGCTTGGCCTGCTTGCCCTGCTTGCTCACGGCCAAATTCCTTGGAAACCTCCCCCTTCGGCTTGGGCGCAAAAAAAAGAAAAGGCGCGGCCGCGGCCCCCGGCGGCGCCGTCCACAACAAGACCGCCACGCAGTTTATTGTCGGATCGGTTCCTCTCCTCCTCGGTTTTATAATGCCGGCCATTCTCCTGCCGCGTCCACACTGTCCACAGCGTCCGGGCCGCGCGGTCTAGGCCATGGCTTGGTGGTGGCCGCGGCGTTATGTAGTGTAGTGGCGCTGCTCCGCGCTCCGCTCCGCCACCGGCGCGCTTCGAGCTTGGCGTTGCCTCGCGTTGCCTCGCGGTGCCTCGCGTTCGATTGTTCGCCAACTGATGTATGAGTGCGGCAGTGTCCCGGCACTGTATTGGCAGCCGGAAGGGGGGCGAGCGGAGCGCGAAGCGAAGGGTCGCCCGGTCCGCGGACTGACTCCGAGGGGCGCCGCTCTGTCTCTCTCGCACCCTCACGGGGCGCCCATGAGTGCGAGAGAGACGGAGCGACGACCCTCGGAATCGGTCTGCTGGTCCGGCAGCGCAGCGGTCCGCGGCCGCGTTCGAAGCGGCGGCCCCAGGGCCCCACACTGGCCGTGCCGCTGCACTGTGTCTTCTTGGTCGCGTGGCGGTGGTCCCGGCGGCCGTTCGGACGCGGCCCCGCGGTGGCGGCCCAGCGGAAGCTGCATGCAAATGGAGTAACTGCGCCATCGAGGACCGCCAGCAGACCGATTCCGAGAGTCCTCTTCGTCGCTCTGTCTCTCTCGCACCTTCACGGGACGCTCCAGGAGTGCGAGAGAGACAGAGCGACGAAAACGACTGTAGGAATCAGTCTGCAGGCCAGCAACTCGCCGCTGCCACCGCCCTGGGGTTTTTGTTTTCTGAATTCTGTTAATTTTATCTCTTTGGTTTCTCGCGAGCGCGTGTCTGCCGACGTGCTGTGCCCGCTCATCCTCGGTGTCGTCTGTTGCAGGAGCGAGCCCACCGCCGCCAGGGGTTTGCTGGGCTCCATCGAGCGCTCGCTGCACCGCGTCAGGCACATCCTGACCCCGCGGCGCAAGATGGACGCCATGCAGGAGGAAGGAGCCAGCCCGCTGCAGCGCCCCGCCACCCCCGCCGTCCTCTCCGCCAAGGTGGGTGCCGTAGAGTACCGTAGAGCATAGAGCCAAGGATGTAGAGGAAATCGTGTCGGCTGCGTGCGGCTGAGCGCCGCGGCGGTAGGCAACCCATCGGGCGGCCCCGTCGCTTGGGCGGCCAGCCAGCCTTGCCATTACCATTACGGGCTAGACCACAACTGATCGTACGCCATTTCGGGCCCGACACATGCCCGCAGTCGCTCTCTCTCTCTCTGTCTCCCTCGCTCTCGGTCCGAAGCCTCACCCGTCCTTGTCTGTCGCAGGGCCTGTGCAACGTGTCGACGGCGAGCCGCAGCGACCCCGACGAAGTGCTCCAAGAGCTTCGGAGGGCGCTCTCCAGCAAGGGCATCACCTGCAAGCAGAAGGGGTGAGTCTCCGTAGCGCTGTCTCTCTCGCACTCATGGGGCGTCCCGTAGACAGCCTGCTGACGCGCCGCTCTCTTTGTTGTTCTAGATTCACCCTGCGCGGGAGGGTGGACGCGGAGAAGGGCCACCAGATGTCCTTCGAGCTGGAGGTGTGCCTGATCCAGACCTGCGCGCCCAACATCCGAAACCCACCCGCCCCGCTGGTGGGCATCCGCCGCAAGCGACTCAAGGGGGACGCCTGGTGCTACAAGCGCGTCTGCGAGGAGGTCCTCGCACTCGCGCAGCAAAGCGGCTGAAGTAGTTTTGGTGCGACCTCTTGACCTCTTAATCAAAGCATGAATCCATCAGTGGGCAATTGAACGCACTTTCAACTGCGTCCAAGCTGAATGTACCTCAATGGTTTATTTGGAAGTGGGCCACCGTTGCTGCTTGTCGAGTTTGAAGTGTGTTCATTTTTCTCTTCCGTCCTCATTGAAGTCTGATTTGCCTCCAATAGCGCCTTATGCCTTGTGCCCTCACAAAGATGGTTTAACTTAGATCATTTATGTACCTTAAGTCTTCGAAAAGATGAGCAACCTTATTTGCAAGAAAAATGATCCAGTGATTGAGATGATTTAATGTCTCAATCTTACCTCAGAGCATCTATTTTTGCTGGTTAAAGAAATAATCAAGGTGCCCCTATGCCCAAAATAAGAAACTCAAGTTGAAACCAAAATATTTTTATTTTTATAACGTATAGTGTGCAAGTCTGTCATCATATTTTCTTTTGAATATGCTGTCTATGACTTGTGAAAAAATATAGTTTGAACTCTTACCTATCTTCTTTTATATTTATAAGCCATTAAATGTATAGTATATACTACTAACCCAATGAAAATTTGATATTGTAACCCTATTTTCTTGCGTTCTAAAAGGCATCTGCAGCCAGTTGACTTTTGTAGTCAATCTTGGACTGTTGGTCAGCCCATTTGTGTAGATACGCAAATGAGTTGGTCTCTAAAAGCTGTGATCAAAAATGTGCCTTTTAAACTTTGATATTATGTGTCGATTGTTCTTTTATGTAATGAAATAAAGGTATAAGCACTGCCTTACATGTCGCCTGTTTACTGCATCCCTATCCTATCACATACCAAACACTAACGTTCACAGTGCATGCTGCAAAAACGCGAATTCCACCAACTGCAAAGTCAGGTTCATTCATTTTTTTTTCTGCAATTAAAATCATTAAATGCGCGCGCTTCTTGGCCGCTCTGCCCGCCCTCTCACCTCGCCGCCCCCGACCACCCCCTCCCCGACGCGGATGTCGTTTAAAAGTCCCCCGACAGACGAAATTCGTTAACGGCCGAGTGCGCGCGGGACAGCGCCGGGCAGCGCGGAGGAGGTGGAGGTATTGAAGTGCGGCAAAGGCAAAGGCGCGATGGCAAGGCCGGCATGGCGTCGTGGGGGCGCGGGCAGATCCGGTGGACGAGTAGGGGGAGGGGGAGTCGGCCGGGGTGGGCAACTACACACTCGCGGGCTCTCGGCAAAAGCCGGTTTATCCCAAGATAAAATTGGTTTCGGTTCTCATAGCTGCATGTTCAGAAAAATCTGACATGAAAACACAAGTGTTTTTCACGACTGAATGCAATCAGTCCTGGGAATTGGCTGTTTAGGCCTGACAGGTAAACGTAAAACAGTAAAAAAGCAACTCCAAAATGAGTATTCGAACCGCAGACCGTAGAGTTGTGAGCCCGACGCTCGACTACTTCGACCACCCGGTTCTCTGAAGGCGGCGGACATTGATGGGCATCTTGGACTGATGAATGAGTGCGGACGCGCAGAGAAAATGATTGCTCGCTCCCTTTCCTGGGGTCCCAAGTGTCCCACAGTCCATCTCCTGGCAGCATAATAGTATCAAAAGACACTACACCAGGAAATACTGTTTACGCTACGGGGAGTTGAACCCGCGAACCCGCCTACTTATCCAGCCTCCAAGCACGGACACCACTGCGCTACCGTACTATTGAGATTCCAATGCTCCTGTAATTTGACCTGCTCGACTCGAGTGCCATTTTGACTCGACTTTTGGAGATGGCCCGTCGTGCCGGTGGTTTAAAGAGACGCACCGCTGGGGGTGGCGGCGCGCGGAGCAGCTGAGCGCGGGCGGGGCGGGGCGGGGCGGCCTCGGGGGCGGCCTTACGCTGGTACCCGCGCAAGCTCGCCTTCCCGCCTTTTCTTTAACGGTCTTTCCCTTTAACGAGCCACCTGACGGCGCGGGCCCGACGGTCCTGTCAGTGCGCGGGGGCGGAGGGGTGGGGGAGAGAGAGAGAGAGCGGCGCGGAGCGTCTTCGAGACTCCCTCACCTGTCACAGTTCGCCGCCCCCGCCTTTAGCCCGAGCCGAGCCGAGCACACGTTCGGGCCGAGCCGAGCCGAGCCGAGCCGGGGTGGCAGGAACGCGAGCACGCGTCCTCGCGATACACTGTGAAAAAGCCAGCGGACCGGGATCCCGAAAGTTTCCAGCGCAAAGATGCGGTGGTGGGTTTGCCGAAGCGGAGGACACTTCAGGTTGACATTGCCGACAGGGAGCGCCACCGTCGTCGTGATACACTGTCGGTTTGCACTGCCGCAGTGACAGTTCGTGAAACTGCCAAAACTTTTGGCGCGAGCGTCTGTACTGCTTCACTACTAGGACACAGCATGACAAAATCGCCGTGCAGCCCACTGCCTCAAAGCAGACGGATTCCGAGTCGTTGTCGCCGCCCTGTCTCTTTCCCGCCCATGGGGCACGCCTGGGCACGCCCCCGAGTGAGACACAGCGTCGAAGAACAGACGAAGACACCTCACGGAAGCAGTCGGCGGACGGCGGGTCCTCTGCCTCCGCGGCTTCGCGGCCACCAGGCCCGGCAGGCTGCCGCGCTCGCCCCGCCGTGGTCGCGAAGGGTCCTCTCGGACGTCCGAGGAGGGGAAGGTGCCCCCGCCCCTTCCTCCGCCCCCGCGCTTCCTTGCTTCGCCTTGCTCCGCTCGTTACGTTCCAACGGTCACCGCCGCGAGAAGGGCTGCACGTTGCACGCGGGGCGGGGGAGGGGGGGGGGACGCCGCGGAGTGGCGAAGCGGCGAAGCCAAGACGGCGTGCCGGCCGCCGCGGAGAGCTAACAGGTGGACAGCGGGCAGGTGCGCGGGTGCGCGCTGCGCGGTCAAGACTCGCCGCCGCGGCCACCCGCGCGACCCTTGGTTGCTACCCGCGCCGCCGCCCTTTCGCCTCGCCGCGCTCCTCGCCCAGCCCAGCTAGTCGCAAACACTTGACTTGTGAAGCCGCTCGCCGCGCATCCTCCCTTTTTCGAGTGTGGCTGCGCGCCCAGCACGACGCTGCCGCCTCCAAGGCTGGCGTCTCGCCGCGCTCCCTTTGAGGCCTGGAGGTCAGGTCGGCGCGGCAGCGCGCTGTCTGCCGGCCTTCGATTACGCCGTCTGGCTCGCTGAATAGAGACGCCGGTTTGGCGGCTGTTCGGCGGGGTGGTGTCGCTCCTGTTCACTCCTGTTCCGGCGATCCCTGCTCCCTGCCCCGCGCGCGGCGCCCCGGCCGACCGCCTAACCGCCGCCAGGCTCGCGCTGTCTCCCTCGCTCTTACGGGGCGCCCCGCGAGGGCGAGAGAGACAGCGGTGGACGCGCTTCCCGGCGGCCCCGCCGTGGTCGTTGACATGCATGGCTGGGCCGCGATGGTGGCGATGAATAGCGTCGGGCTTATCGTTGTCCTCCACTTGGTCCTCTAACGACGCCGGCGGCGGCGGCGCGACGACGCCGTGCCCGCGCCGCCCCCACCGAGGGCTACACGACGACCCGTCCGGCCCCCCGCTCCGCCCCCACCGAGGGCTACACGACGACGCCGTGCCCGCGCCGCCCCCACCGAGGGCTACACGACGACGCCGTGCCCGCGCCTCCCTCACCGAGGGCGACGCCGCCCTGCATGCTCGCACTTCCGTTGCAGGTGCGACAGAGACGGGCGACGGGGCGGCGACGGGGCGGCCAGGAGAAGGGAAAGAGGCCATTAAACACCTGTTGGCTGACCCGCTGGCGTCCGCCATGCCCTGCCGTGCCGGTGCCGCGCGGTGCCGCGGTGGAGGCTGGACTGCCCGGACTGCCTGGACTGCGGACTCGTTCCGAGAGTCGTTTTCGTCGCTGTGTCTCTCTCGCACTCATGCGGCGTCCCGTAGGGGGCGAGAGAGACAGAGCGACGAAAAGGACTCTCGGAATGAGTTTGCTGGCCGGACTCATTGCTATGCCGTGTGCATTGGCGGGAGAAATTTATTCCGCCATGTGACTCGCCGCCCGGACCCGCCCGCGGCACTGGTAGCCCGCGGCCCGGCCGGCCCGGCTGCGCGGGTGGACAGGTATTTGGCGGGGCGAGGGTTCGACTCCCCGTGGCTGCCGCCAGGGCTGCCGGTTTCCACAGGGGTGTTTCTGTCCCGCACACTGAACTAGTACCGCTGGGCAATAATGCTCCATTTCATGGAAAAAATCTGCGGCAAAAAGTGGCAATACGAAAGTCTCTAGGAGACCCGCCGATCAGCTTCGGTGTTCTTATGGGAACCGGGCCTTCATCCGACGCTCCCTGCCGCGCAATTCGACAGATTAGTGGGTTCGTATTGGGCTGGCCCACCCGAAGTGCGCGCGGTTTCTGTGGTACAGTGAGAGTCCAGATTCAGAGGCCTTACCTCAGAGGGGTCACATTGGGTATTTGAACCCGCGACCCCGAGTGCCGAGTCTAGTCAACTCCTCTACCCTGACCGCTCAGCCACCGAACCAGCTTGTCGGCGGCGATGTCGCAACTCCTCTTGAGCTGCCGTTCGAGAAATCTGGTCCCGAAAAAATTGTACCTTGAGCGGTCTCGAACCCGGGACCTGCCGCTTCCCACTTCATGCTCTTAACCACTGAGCCACCGGGACGCCATGGCACCCGGCTTGCCTGCGCTGGTACTCAATCTTCTCTGGATATACCTCGCAAAGCAATTGGTTGCCGAAAAAATTGTACATAGTACCGGTCCCGAACCCGGGACCTGCCGCTTCCCGCAACATGCTCTTAACCACTGAGCTACCGAAGAACCATGCTGTTTGCACTGCCAGCGCTGGTACTCAATCCTCTCCGGATAGACCTCCTCAAGAAGTCGGTTGCCGTTGGCGAAAAATTTGTTCGTGGTACTATGGGTCTCGAACCCGAGACCTGCCAGTCAGAAACGCAGCACTCTAACCACTGTGCTACCAGGTTGCCATGCCCGCCACGTACCTAGCACCAAAGCTGAATAGCCACCCTTCTTGCTTGATGCTGGACAAATTATAAGTTCGGTGCTAAGTGAGCGGCGGGATTTTTTTCATGAAACGCACTGCGGGAATGGTGCATCATTGCCCAGCGGTACGTGTTCAGTGTGCAAGCTACCAGGTGCGAACTGGTCTTACTTCGGCGTCTTGGGCCCGCCGAAACTCGTTTCCAGGACCGACAGCCCCAAACATTCCGAACCGTCCTGGAAACGGGTGACAAACGTCGCCAATGGCACCCATTTGGGGGTGGGTGTGGGCTGATGCTGGAAATATTTTAACGAAGAAATAAAAGAAACCGTAAACAGATTCTGCAAAAAGTATGAATGTTTGATGCAAAAAATTAAAAAATTGTAGCAAGATTAAGTTGCGAAGATATGCGCAGGATACGTATAGCAGTGCGTGTGTCTGTGGCGGCCGTATCCTTAAACTTTTGTCTAATGAGAGTGAAATAAAGTGGACACTCCGTCCGGCCAGCCCCGGCGGACTGACTCCGAGAGTTGTCGCTCTGTCTCTCTCGCGCTCATGGGGCGTCCCGTGTGGGTGCGAGAGAGACAGAGCGCCGGCCCCCACGATCACAGCGAGCAATCTGATGGCGGAGCGTGAAATAGCCGTGACCACGGGGGTGTAACTGGTGGCACCGTGCTGGCACCCTCCCACCCCTTGCTCGCTGCCCGCCACCCTCGACGGCTCCCACGCCCAAGCCGACAGGTTGCGGGCCTCGCCTCGGGCTCGCCGGCGCGGAACAGCCGAACAACCCTCTCGCCTGGAAATATGGCACGACGCACCTCCGCGCCAAACGCCC